AGTGCCTTGGAAGAGACTCTCCTCAGCTCCCCAGGCTGGGGGTCTCCTACAGAGACCCCAGGGAGGTCCGGGATGAACTCGGACCCCTCCTGTCAGCTGGGTCTCAGCGCGTCTCCACCAGAGCGAGACGGGACGCGTCCAAGCAGTGAAACGCTTAGACCGGAAGTCCATGTTGGTGTACATGCTGAGCATGAAACCATGGTTAACTTAAAGGAAGAAGGGAGTGGTTAATAAATGTTCATGAATCTGCTTCATTTGCAAACTGTAGCTTTTTGGGAGCCAACATTGCATGTATGTTCTGTTTGGAGTGTTACACAGTTGGGGCAGGGGTATCAGTTGGTATGGGATACATAATTCAGAAGTCCCTCAACTTGGAAATGGAATCATTAGTGGCATGCAGTGATGCCACTGTCTTTCCAAGATGCGGGGGGGGGGATGTTAGTCTAGGTGCTGTAGAACATCTTGTTGGCTAATCTTGCTTTAAAAATGAGGAAAAGATAGAAAAAAGGAAAATTAACAGTCTTGGGTAATGGAGCTGTAGAGGCCATGATAGGAGGAGGGAGTTTGTTTGGCTATACACATCAAAAATTGGCCAGTTATCAAATGACTGAGTATAATTCTAAGTAATATTTACATAAGAAATGGATTTTTGTTTAAATGTCAATTTACCCCCTCTTTTGAAGTCTTACAAAATATAAACTTTGATTCAATAACTGTGTATTTTATCCTGTAACTGTTAGAAGAAGCTAGCTGCATTTTAGTGTTTCCGTATTGTAAAAGTCTTTAAAAAATTAGAAAACTCAAATATGTTTGAGGGCATGTGCGCTTTTTATTATGCATGCCGGAGGATGAATTTAATTTAAGTGTAGGTTTGTAAGCAATTCCTCTTGCACTTGTTGCCAACTGTATCAAATTGTTTGAAATATTTATTGTACTCTCATTATTGTGTATTTCTTCCCCCCTCCCCCTTCTTTACAGTCTGTAATCGTGAAAAGCGTTGAGCGAAATGCCTTAAACATGTACGAGGCACGGAAATGTCTCCTGGGCCTTGAAAGCAGTGGAGTTGCCATAGCAACGAGCCCATCCACAGTCTCCTGTCCCATTGGCCTCTCGTGTCCTGGCTTGGATATCCTATCCTCAGCTGGGCTAGGACTCACTGGACTCGGTACAAACCGTTATGCTTGTGTTCATAATATTTTTTAAAACTTAGCCTAACGATGTGCAAAAAAATGAGCTATGTGCCTGAGATCCAACAGGGGAAATGGAAGTAATTGTGTTTGTCTTAGACATGGGAAATAAAGGGATTTAGGCCTCTGTTGGTTGGTCAGCAGTGAAGACTGGAACTGTTGAAATAGAATGTGCAACAGGGAAGAATTGGATAAAACGTTTGGACTTTTTAAAAAACTGATGTGCCAAGTTCCCAAAGTTGGCTCTTGATCCCACTATTTATTTATTTATCTATCAAACTTTTACCCCGCCCTCCCGCCAAGGTGGCTCAGGGCGGCTTACAAATAATTAATACCAGTATACAATTAAAACCAGATTAACATTTGAGGGGTAGGGAGGGACGTTGCAGCTCTCAATTTAAATCCATTGTACATACATACATATGATGTGTGCATGAAGCTGCCTTCTGCTGTATCCGACCATCACTCCCTCGGGGCCAGTATTGTCTACAGGGTGGGATAAAAATACCTAAATCAAAAAATAAAAATCACTCCCTCGGGGCCAGTATTGTCTACTCAGACTGGCAGCAGCTCTCCAGGGCCTCAGGTTGAGATCTTTCACATCACCTACTACCTGATCCTTTTAACTGGAGGTGATGGGGATTGAACCTGGGACCTTCTGCATGCTAACCAGTTACTCCACCGCTTAACCATGCCCCCCTCCCGAGTTCGATTACTTGGTGAGAGGAGCTACCATTCTGGGGGCTGTGGTTTTTAGTGTGCTACTCTTCAAGAATGTCAAGGAAGCAAAGAATATCATGTATCCTTCCATTTGGTATCAGATAGGAATAATTTGAATGAATGACTTTCCCCCAAAACATTGTTTAACCATTTCTGTACAGGCATTTGTAACTGGTCTCTTATTTTTGGTGCAGGTCTCTTGGGTCCCACTGCCTTGTCCGTCAACACATCCACTACTCCAAATTCTCTCCTAAATGCCCTTAATAGTTCTGTCAGTCCTTTGCAAAGTCCTAGTTCAGGCACACCTAGCCCAACGTTATGGGCCTCTTCCATTGCCAATACAAGTGCCACAGGCAAGTATATTATCTTCACGTGCTGTTAAAAAGTAAGGTTTTTGAAGCAAGACACTTTTTTGTTTCAGATATCAAAGGAAGAATTGTATTAATCTGGAAAGGACTTCTGTTCTCTTGCTTGCAGGATTCTCTGCTATTCCCCACCTGATGATACCATCTACGGCCCAGGCCGCTTTAACTAGTATACTTTTGTCCGGAGTGCCAAACTATAGTCAGAACACACCCTCTCCCCCTCCCGGCTTAACCCCAGTTGATATCCATGTCAATGGCATACAAACAGAAAACAAGAAAAGCCAAACTTCTCTGAACGGCCATGTAAAGGTAAACAAGGTGACTTTAATCTATAAGCTATCAAAATCAAGACTTGCAATGCTTAGATCAGGAGTCCCAACCTTTTTGGACCTGTGGGCACCTTTTGAATTCTGACACAGGGTGGTGGAGGGAGCCACAAAATGGCCACTATGGGAGGCAAAGCCGACCACGCATGCATGGGAGGCCCAAGTGCAAGAGAGGAGAGCAGTCAATTTTAAATAATGCATCGGGGAAGAGGAGTCAGATAAAGAATAAAGCCAACGGTATTGGCAGTTGTTGCTGAAATGTTATTTTAATCTGAGCAGCTGTCAGGGCCCCGGTCAAATCACTCTTCGCACACACTTTCTTGGTTGAAAGTTTTATTAGAAGATATGAGATGTTTAGGGAATGACTTCTTTTGTCAGAACTGAGGTGCAAAGGCAGGAAAGGTGAATGTAGTTACAATCACACATTCCATTCATACACGTCAGCAATCTACTCGGACCATAGGAATAGGGGCCCTCCTGTAGCTAATCAAAGATGTTTCTCCAAGGACATCTCCCCGTGTGAAACGATGTCTTGTTGGGGCTCCATAGAAGAGCTACAGCTGCAAGCGTCTACTCCTACACATGTGTTCTCACTCACACTCTCACTCCCCTCGCCTAGCAATGCGATGGCAGGCGAGGGTAAAGATAAACCCACTAGAATACACTTTGTGGGGGTGGGTAAGCCAGGTTAGAGCAGGGGGAGATACATCAGGGAGTTTTGAATGGCAATAAAACACCTACATATGATCAATCAACCCGAGCCTGACAACAGCCACTCAGATTGCCCATGGGCAATTAGAAGCCCTACTGGGCGGGAGCCTACCTGGCCCCGCCCACTTTCTAAAAGCACTTGACGGGCACCAGGAGTGGTGTTGGCAGGCCCCAAGGCACACACCCCGGGCGCCACCTCGGGGGACCCTGCTTTAGATTGATTCGTTTTTAAAAAGCATCGATTTGAAAAGTTCCACAAGTAGGACAGAACACTACTACTATTATTATTTTAACATTTTGAGATCTCAGCCTAACAATTACAAAATGTGACAATAGTGTCTAGGTAAGTGGAAGGCTGGGGTCTGCTTCTAGTCATTATCTAAGGGGAAGGTCAGGGGTCGCAAGAGGTAGCCATGTTAGTCTGCGGCACCTTGAAGACTACAAAACTCATTCCAGTGTAAGTCTTATTGTGTGTCATGGGTAGGCTTGCCAAGTCCCCTCGGGGGGCGGGGAAAACCCTGCCCCAGAGGCCCGTTCCCCACCGGCGGCGGATTGGGCCCCAGTGGGAACCCCACCCCGACATCCACGTCACCCGGAAGTGATGCGACCACGCTGGGGGCGGGGCCACGGTCATCTGAGGGAAAACACTATGGTTTTCCCTTGGATGGTCGTGGCCCCGTGCCCGGCGTGGTCGCGTCACTTCTGAGTGACATGGATGCGGCGCGCGCGCACTCCAGCCGCCAACCGGGAGTCCCCCGCTGCGGTGAAAATCAGACTTGGCAACCCTAGTCATGGGCCAGTCCACCAGATGCATGGAGTGAGTGTCCATAACAGTTAATTTTGGGGTTGCATGCAGCAGGCAGCTTTGGGGAGATGTTACAAAGAGAGAAGAGGCCACTTTGAAACTGTAACCAATTACTGCAATAGAGGGATCAGTCCACGCAGAGGTGGTTAAAGGAGCCCACTCCTGACTGCAGAAGAGGGCAGAGTAGTATAAACATAAGATCTAATCAAGGAAGATATACTGTGAAGCCAGAGAAGCAGAATTAAAAGCTGCAAAGGGTGTGGGGTCTTGCTGAGCTTTTGATGCCTGCAGTGAGTGAGGGAACTAACTGGGGATGAAATAGTATTGAGTCTACTTGAGTCGGCATATCTTCCTTGGTGCACAAGGGGATGTGGGTTAAAAAGACTGGGTAGCTCTTACTGCAATCCGGATCCCCAAAAAAATTAGCTAGGCAGAAGCCTCTTTGAAATACCGGACTCACAGTAGCGATGTCTTCTATTTCAACAGAGCAACTACAACTAATCTTTTTTTGTTTGCCGTTGCACAACAAGTAAACGTTGTTTTAAAACCATGATCGATAAAATGTGTGTGCTTGCTCTGGTCGGCACCGCAGTGAAGTGAACCCGGAAACAAAACCGACTGCGGAACCAGGGCCGGCTCGCCCGCTAGCCAAACTAGGCCTTCGCCTAGAGCATGAGCCAGCCGTTAGGGCACGGGAGGAGAGGCAGGGGTGGCCGCCGACGCTCCTGGCCAGCAGCTGGGAGGAGCGCCAGGGCTGGAGGAGCTCTGCCGGCTGCAGTGTGGGCAGGGCGCGGCGCTGTAGCTGGCCGGCGGAGGAGCAAGCGAGGGGGTGGAGGCAGGGGCGGCCGCCAGCACGCCTGGCCAGCATGGGCAGGGCACGGTGCTTTCCTTCCCCCCCCCCTGTGCCTCTCCTTGATACAGGAAAGTGGGGGGGGAGGATAAGGGAGACCTTCTCCTCCTCCCCCCCCCCGTCGAGAGGGCGTGCCTTGGGAGGTGGGGGGGGGCCCCACCGTGTCCCCCCACCCCCCAATTTGCAGTTATTATTCCCCCTCACACAGAGAGAGAGAGAGAGATGCCGACGGGGCCACGCTGCCACCTCGCCTTCCCTTCCCTCCCCCTCAAGGAGGCGCGGACTCACCAGGGCTGGGGGGGAGAGCCCGCGTCTTCCCTCCCCCAGGGGGTGGCGGCAGCACTTTCTCCTCCCCTACGTGAGGCGAGGCGGAGAGACTACAAAAGCCACCGGGCTTGGCTGCCCGGCTCGGCTCTCTTCCCCGCCCTGGCGGAGCTCTGAGGCTCCCGCTGCTCCCGCTGCTCCCGCTGCTCCTGCTGCCTGCCTCTTTCCTTCCTTCCCGCTCATCCCCCATCCACTTCCAGGCCGCTCCCCCTTCGCCTTCCTCAGGCAGGCGGGCTGACTGACTGAGCCGCTTGCTCGCTCCCTCACTTGCCTCCTTTCCTCCCTCCCGGGGCGCACCCTGGGAGACGCCACTCCGCTCCCCTCTTCCCTCAGCTGCAAGGGAAGCCGGCCCTGGCTGGTGGGGCCAGCCCACAGTCTCCCTTTCCCTCCCTCCCTTCCCGCCTCAGGCCGCTTTCCTACTCGAGCCTGGCGGGGGGGGTGAGGCGGCAGTGCCTGCGGTGGGGGCAGAGGGAGAGTGCCACCGCCCCACCGCGTTCGCCGTTCTGGGGGCGGGCAAGCGGCGGGTCTCTCCCCCTCCCTGGCGGGCCTCTCCAGGGTGCCCCCACACGCTCCACACACACCCCGCGCGCTGTCTCCAGGCCCCGCCGGGAGCTTGGCATCTGCTCTCACGTAGAGCGCAGGACAACCTCGGGCCGGCCCTGTGTGGAACTACATCGCTGAGATTAGGCTTGATTCTCTAGGGCTTCCATTTGATTCTGAGCAACAAAGTAGGCAAGGGTGCAGTTAGCCGTGACTCATTGGGAGAGTCAAAACCTGCATCTCCAGTAGCAGAGAGCAGATCACGGCTCCTTATAAGTGAATCGCCGCAATCCACTTCTGATGGGGAGAAAAAATAAAACACAGTGCTGTTGTGTTTGGGAACCAAATCTGCTCCTCGGCACTGTTGCTGCGTGGGTTTGCTTTCCCCCCCAACAGGCATCCCCGAAAGGTTGGATGCAGCTGTCAAGAGACTAGATCCTATGAACTTCCAGCCATGTCCTTTATTGCGTGTTGTTACAGGAGTCTTGCAAGCTGAAAATAAAAAGGGGTCGAAGCGATACACTGGGGGGGGGGGGGGTATGGTACTTAATCAGTTGCTTCAATAAAATTATTTTGAAGTCCAAGATGATGATTTAAATGTTCTTGTACCAATTCTAGACTTCAGCCATGAAGTACACAGCTCTGTCTGCTGCATCACTCGGTGAGAATGTATTGAGTTCAAACCACAGCGATCCATCCCGGCAGATGAGTAGCCATAATGCCTCCGAACAAGTGACGGCCAAGGCAAACGCTGGAGAAGGTGGAATAAAAAATTAGCATGATGCATTCTTTATGTCGCTTTGTTTTTTTTTATTTTGGAGAGTCAGCATTTCCCTCTCAGGACATTCAGGATAAATGTAATAATTGCACGGGGTTGACAAGGGAGTCTGAACATCATCTGAGCACAAAGTTAAGAGTGGGCTTAGTCAAGACTCTCTGGTCTTGCAAAATTCAGTTAGGGACCCAAGATAAAATTGCTTGGTGTGAAGCAATGTCCATTTGCTGTTCTTTTCTATAATATTCACAGTGAGTCTTTACAAGGTTTCATTCTGAGCCTCGCAACTGAAGTTCTGTTAATTTCACAATGTATGAATGGTGGTAAAGTGGCCATTAACAGGAAGGCCGTAATCCTCATGGTCTCTCTTGTTAATGTTGTCGAAGGCTTTTACGGCCAGAGTTCATTAGCTGTTGTAGATTTTCTGGGTTGTATGGCCCGGGTTGTATCTTTCTGCGTTATACCTCTGAGAACGCCAGTCACAGTTACTGGTGAAACGTCAGGTCCTACAGGGTCAAGACCACGGCCATACAACCCGGAAAATCTACAGCAGCTAATCTCTCTTGTTACTTCAAATAAATGCATGTTGCTGATTCCATAGGTATAGATGCGTGTCTCTAGATTCTTTTATCTTAAAAAGAAAATCTAGCTAACATGGCCCCAAATCTGACTTGAAGGAACGTTGAATTCTTGAGACTCTGTTTAAATAATACAAACTGAATATGATTGTGTATAATTCTACTACTTCTGGCAAGATGCATAACTGAGATGAAGACTAGGTGCATCCCCAGTGGCTGTTCAGAGCCTTAAATGCTGCCAACTTCCTTTCTCTAATGAAAGTTCTGCTCTGGGATTTCACTCTTCCACAGCATGATTACAGAATGCACAATCTCCCTGACCGCAGGTAGAACATTAATTCATTTGTTAACAGATCCAGTTGGTCAGCTGTGTTGGTCCGAAGCAGTACAACAAATTTAGAGTCCAGGGGAACCTTTAAGACCAACAAAGGTTTATTCAAGGTGTGAGCTTCTGTGTGCACACACTCTTTATCGAATACCTTAGAATGGCATGCTAGGTTCAAACTCATAGCCAGAGAATGAACAACAAATTAACATGTAACATGATGATCATCAAGATATGCAAAGTGACACTAAATAATAAATCAAGGTTATAGGGTCAACAGTTGTAAAGCAATAAATATGTCAAACTAGCAGAAAAAATGTCTAAAGGTTTCTTTTCTAATTGTGGGAAGTGTCTGGGAATCTTCATTCTCCCCTGTCAGGCATGGAGGGCACTTAACACTACCTCCCCCTCCAAAAAAATGCTGTTATGTCAGCACACATGTATGCAAGGGATATTAGGATGTATTTGATACTTCCCTTTATTATAGGTCACTGTGGCTCAGAGGTTAAAGACACTGAGCTGCAGATCGGAAGGTCTGTAGTTCAGCAGTTCGAGACCCTAGTGCCATGTAATGGAGTCAGCGCCCGCCTCTGGCCCCAGCTCCTGCCAACCTAGCAGTTCAAAAGCAAGAAATTGCAAGTAGATAAATAGGTACCACTTAGGTGGGAAGGTAACAGCATTCTGTGTGCCTCCACATTTAGTCATGACCACGGAAATGTCTTCGGACAGCGCTGGCTCTTTGGCTTGGAAACGGAGACGAGCACTGCCCCCTAGAGTCGGATTCGACTGGCTTTCGAGCAAGGGAAACCTTTACCTTTTATTATAGGAATGGAACGGAACGTGGCCAGGGATAGACCTGCTTCACTTAGGAGGCAAGAAAACTTTATCAAATAAATCGACAAGTAATAATGAATAGCAATTGGAAAAATTAATTTGGGGTTAAGAGGCGTAAGAAAAACAAAAGTTGTATGAATTGTATAATGATATATTTTCGGAATGTAGAATTAAGTTTGTGGGAACATTCCCAACTGGATTATAAATATAGGACAATAGATATATTAGAAATCAATCCAATTTGGGCATATTGTAGGTTATCTTTGATAAATTAGTTTAAATGTTATTCCTTCCTTTGTTATGATGTTTTGTATAAACTTGCATTATGGGAATTAAACGCAAAATAAAATATTAAAAAATGCAAGAAAACTTTATCAAAAACGTATTTGATAAAGTATGCGTGCACACAAAAGCTCATACCTTGAATAAGCTCATACCTTGAATAAACCTTTGTTGGTCTTAAACGTGCCATTGAACTCTAAAATCATTTGTCAACAGTTTACCTAAGCTTCGTGGGTTCAGTATTGTAAAAAAGATCCGGTCGCCTCTGTTCGTGGCAGGGTTTTCCCTTAGTCTTCAATCATCCCCATGGGATTCCCACTTACATATGTCTGTGCATTGTTTTTCATTTGTTCCTTGCAGGGTGCAACGATGCTTTTGTGGAAGTGGGCATGCCGAGAAGCCCTTCGCATTCTGCAAATGCCAGCGACCTGAAGCAAATGATGAGTTCCTCCAAGCCGCCCTGTGCGAAGAGGCAGACCGTAGAGTTGTTGCAAGGCACCAAAAACTCGCACTTGCAGTATGTTGCATTCATAAGTATGAGACCATAGAAAGTGCAGTGGGGACAATCGGTTGCCCTCTTGAGTGGAATGAGCTGCTCGGTCATTTGTGATCCCCCAGTTTTTGTCCTCATGGTCCATGCACAGATTCAAGCCTGGTTCCGGGTTTTGGGGTGCCCTGGGCAAAGTGCACCTGACCACTGCCAGGCCCTCCCTTCTCACACCCCTTCCTGCTAAGCCCGCATGGGGTGAAATGGCTACACCTGTGACAATCCCTCAACAACACACACCTAGCCGAGGGGCTTTTTGTTCCTTCTTGAGAGTCGTATCTGTGTCGTAACACTTACGTAACACTCTGTTTTCAAAGTGGTTTAAGGACGTCGTGGTGGTGGTGGCTTATAGTCCAGGCTTATAGTTATAGAGAAAGAGGTACTTTTCTCCTTTTCTCACAATACAAGAACTCGTGGGCACTCCATGAAATTGCTGAGCGGTCGGGTTAGAACGGATAAAAGGAAGTACCTCTTCACCCAAAGAGTGATTAACACATGGAATTCACTGCCACAGGAAGTGGTGGCGGCTACAAGCATGGACGGCTTCAAAAGGGAATTAGATAGGCATATGGAGCAGAGGTCCATCAGTGGCTATTAGCCATAAGGTATAGATAGGGGCTCTGGGGCAAGTGATGCTCTGTCTTCTCGGTGCTTGGGGGGGCCAACAGTGGGAGGGCTTCTAATGTCCTGGCCCCACTGGTGGACCTCCTGATGGCACCTTGTATTTTTGGCCACTGTGTGACAGAGTGTTGGACTAGATGGGCCTTTGGCCTGATCCAACATTGGTGTCTCTTATGTTCTTATGTTCTTACCTTTCTAGCTAAAACTCAAGATGGATTACATAGTGTAAATCAAGTGCATTCAATAGGATGGGGCATCCAGTGAGCAATAAAATAGTGCTTGGGTTATAGAAATCAGAAAAGAAACAATAATCGCGAAAGTTGTCTAAAGAGCCTAACAACCCCGTAAGGTGTAAGCAGATATTAGCCTGATATTGCAGGGGAGGATGGCTAAAGAAAGACACCTGCTGTGAATTCATGGTTAGAATCTGGGAATTCCTGATTCAGTGTGTGACCCACGACACTAGCTCCCTAGAGGAAATGTGTTTTCAAATGAGTTCTTAGTCAAAGCAACTAACTATAACTACCTCTGCATGGACTAGCTTTTGTGTTACTTGAGTCCTGAGGTTGCTGCTTCTGCATGGCCGTGGCTTATGCCGCTCTAGCAAAGTGTGAGCTTGGAAAACCATGTGGGAGGGGGTGTATAATGTTTTCTTGTTTCCACAACAATGTCTCTGGCACAAGGAAAAAGGTAAAAGCAGCATCCTGGGACACAGCTATGTCATGTGACCCTCTGAGGTGATCTTTTTATTCCATTCTAAACTCAGAATGGTATTAGAAAGAAGCCATATTGAAGTGGCAGCCATCTTGATGAATGGTATTAGAAAGAAGCCATATTGAAGTGGCAGCCATCTTGCTGAGGTAACATGAGAATTCCCTTAGGAAAACTAAGATGGTTCAGTTAACAGTGTTCACTTACCCTCTGTTTAGGGGCATTTAGATCAGAAAGGTCCCATATTATTTGAAGAAGAAGAGAAGAAGAGATTGGATTTATACCCCGCCCTTCACTACCCAAAGGTGTCTCAGAGTGGCGTACAAACTCTTTTCCCTTCCCCTCCCCACAACAGACACCCTGTGAGGTAGTTGGGGCTGAGAGAGCTCTTGACAGAAACTGCTCTTTTCCAAGAACAGCTCTGAGAGAACTATGGCTTGCCCAAGGTCATCCAGCCAGGTGCAAGTGGAGGAGTGGGGAATCAAACACGGTTCTCCCAGATTAGAGTCCGTGCACTTAACCACTACACCAAACTGGCTCACTGAAGGGTTAGGAGGGAGCTTGTGGGTGAATATTGGGAGACAGAGAGTGGGCTTTGGTGTAGTTTCGTGTAGAGGTTAAGTGTGTGGACTCTAGTATGGGAGAACCGGGTTTGATTCCCTATTCCTGCACTTGCAGCTGCTGGATGACCTTGGGCAAGCCATAGTTCTCTCAGAGCTGTTCTCTCAAGGACAGTTCTGGAAAGAGCTCTCTCAGCCCCACCTACCTCACAGGGTGTCTGTTGTGGGGAGGGGAAGGGGTTTGTAAGCCGCTCTGAGACTCTGAGTGAAGGGAGGGGTATAAATACAATCTCTTCTCTTCTTTATTAACTTAGTTATCTCTCCTCTGAGCTCCACCAGTAACACTGAGTCAACACAAAGGGAGAGGCACACAGCTTCCTGTGTACCACACAGGTTAGAATTGGGTGGGTTTTGCTTTCCATTTTCTGTGACCCTGCTCTGCTCTGAGAACTGGGAGGGAAAGAACCTTGCAGCTAAATTTGAACCACGACTCCAGTGTATATCCATTCCATACTTCTGGTGTTCTATGCCACAACTAGCTAGTTTTCCCGTTCCAGAAAAATATGCCTTCAAATATGCTCCATAGTACATGGAATTTCAGTATTAAAAAATTAAATGACAATTTAATACCAAAAAGTGAAAACCAAGGATTGTAAATTAGGTTTTCTGTTGCTAATCTTCTGTCTGTCTACTATGTATAGGGCTGCCAAATGTGGGCGGGGGGCGGGGAATCCCCCGCTTTGAAGGGCCGATTTCCGATGCGGCGGAATCGGGCCCCGGGGGAACCCCGCCCCCAGCGTGCCTACGTCACTTCCGAGTGACTTGCGCGCGCACACACCCACGACGCCGGCCGGGACCCCCCCGCTCCGGGCGAAGACGGATTTGGCAACCCTAACTATGTAACACCTACTTACACATCTGGGAGAGGTCATCTGACATATCCTGATTACTTGATTTCTCTTTTTCAACTAATACTGGGTAGGTGGAACTTGTGAATAGAGTGAGTGGTGGGCCGAATAAGAGCTATTCAATAGAAATTGGATCCAGACAAGGCCGAAGGTGCTCTTGGTGGTCAGTTTCTGTGTTCAAGGAAGTGGCACTAAACCTGTTTTAGACCTGCTAAGAACTGTATGGAACAGCACAGTTTCAAAGGCTGAAGTATTTCTTAAGAAAGGGGGTACTGACATCTTCCAATTTTCCCCTCCCTCCACATCCCACTTGAGCCCCCTAACATTTTGTTCCTGGGAAGCTGGCAAACCCTCAAGAACACCGTAGTGAAGTCTGCTGTGAAAGCAGAAAGTAGGGGGAAGCAGGTGTTAAGGACACAAGTCCCAAAGTGCATGATTGGATGCAGGCCACCATCTTGTTATCTTGCCCTTCCTCCAGAGAGCTCAGTGTGGCATATATAATTCTTCCTCCTCTGTTTTTTCTTCACACAACAATCCTGTTGGGATGGATTGGCCCAAGCTCACCCAGTCATCTGACACAACACTCTGCCGACTGAAACTGGGCTGCACTCTCCCCTAAGGACCACGTTTGCCTCTGGGGGATGCTATTTATTGGTCCCAGCGCTTTCTTTGAAGGCTCATGTCCTCCATGGTATGAAGGAACCTTCTGGCTTCAGGTGGTGACCCCTCCTAGGGTATAGTCTTGCCACAGCTATTCACGCGTGTCTTATCATCCATGCAAGGCTGTTGCAACACATTGTACATGAGCCCACTTCGAAGAATCTTCAGTATCTTTCCTATGAGGAAAGGTTAAAGCGCTTAGGGCTCTTTAGCTTGGAGAAACGACGACTGAGGGGTGACATGATCGAGGTTTATAAGATTATGCATGGGAAAGAGCTGGTAGAGAAAGAGGTACTTTTCTCCTTTTCTCACAATACAAGAACTCGTGGGCACTCCATGAAACTGCTGAGCGGTCGGGTTATAACAGATCAAAGGAAGTACTTCTTCACCCAAAGAGTGATTAACACATGGAATTCACTGCCACAGGAAGTGGTGGCGGCTTCAAGCATGGACGGCTTCAAAAGGGAATTAGATAAGCATATGGAGCAGAGGTCCATCAGTGGCTATTAGCCACAAGGTATAGATAGGGGCTCTGGGGCAAGTGATGCTCTGTCTTCTTGGTGCTTGGGGGGGGGTCAACAGTGGGAGGGCTTCTAATGTCCTGGCCCCACTGCTGGACCTCCTGATGGCACCTGGTATTTCTGGCCACCGTGTGACACAGAGTGTTGGACTGGATGGGCCTTTGGCCTGATCCAACATTGGTGTCTCTTATGTTCTTATGTTATCTTCCTTGGCTCTGGGGTAGAGCAGCCAAAATAGCTTAGGATTCTGGTACCTAAATGACTGCTGGTTCCCCTGTAAACCTGCCTGTGCTTTGAGGTCCCGGCTGCAATTGCAGCTCCTCTTGCCTTCTGAGGTTAGGCTGGTGGAACCTGGAGGTATTGGTCTTCCCCATGGCAGTATCCTATTTGTGGGATTTCCACCTCCCCAAGGGAATGCAAGTGTTATCAGATTTACTGAGTCTTAGTCTGAAATGTTTTGTCCTAAGCCACAGGTCAGGAAGCTGAACTTTTAAAAAGTTCCACTGGCTGCTCCTTGCTGGTAACGCACATTTGTTTTATTTTTATGTTGTGTTTCTCTTTGTAATTTATTGCAGCCATTCTGAGCACTTGGGGAAAAAATGCAAAGAAGTCTCTGTTTGCAAAAGGAAGCTAAGCTCCTCTTTGCTTCTTGCAATTGTACTTTAATCGTTTCTCCATGATATTTAGATTTTTCTAGTGTGTATTTATTTATCCGGGGAAGGAAATTCTGATTATGGACAATGAGCCCCCAAACTCTCTCCATGCTTTGATCTGAGTTTGCTGGAAGCGAACGCGTGCAATTGTGGCCATGGACACCAAAAGCAAAACATTAGCCGATCGCCTGCTATGTCATCTGTTTAAAAAAAGAGCTTTAACATTCTGGAGGAATACGTGCCGCGTGATTGATAGCCCACTTCCTAAAGAATAGGTGCTTAAATCCATCTTGCCTTTAAATTCTGTTTTCCTTTATATTTATTTAACGGGGGGAAACCTTCTTTATTTTTACAGCACCGCAGAGAGGTTACTGTCGGATTCTGAGCTGAGCGCTTCAGAGGGCCCCGTGGCAGATAAAAAAGCCCCCGGAAGTGAGCGAGCGGCTGAGAGGGCCGCAGCTGCCCAGCAGAATTCGGAAAGGGCCCGCCTTGCTCCGCGGTCATCGTATGCGAACATGCAGGTATTGGGCGTGGATTCAGTCAGCCGTGCATTCCCGTGGTGGCCTGTAAACCAGGGGTGGTCCCACAGGCAGCTCGCAGAGCAATTTAATCTGGTCCCAGCAATCTTAGCAATTTTTTTTCCAATTTGGGCTACAGTTTCTCATGCTGAAGGAAAGGAAGCTCTTTTCCCCAAAGGAGGTGGTGGGGAATCCATACTTGAAACCTAACTGTCCCTTTGGGTTGCGTTTATAATATCCCACCTCTGCTTCTTCTGAAACTGCTGGATAATTTCGTTTTCGGTTCCCGTGCTTGACCGACCGTGTGTGTGCCTGTGGAATGTGTGTGAGACAGTTTTGTGTGACAAAAACAACTCTTCTGGCTCCCAGACCAGCCCCCCATCTGGGGTCTAAAGAGGTTTCCAGGAATGCAGATATAAACTTACGGACGGCAATAAGTGCCTCTCTAGAAACATCTGGTAACAGTGACTGACTTGATGTTCTGTGACTTTGAGCCCGCTTCTTCCCTGTAGGAACTATTCACTTCTCTGGCATCTGCAAGTGTAACTAATGAAAAGCAAAGGATGATTTTCTGGCTGGAGGCGGTCTCCTGAGCAGTGTTCCCTCTAAGCTGAGTGAGTGTGAGCTAGCCCACAGTTTTTTAGCCTCCAGCTCACACATTTTTGTCTTCGCTCAGGAAGGAGGGTTCCAGAGCAAACTGATTTATGCCGTAGCCAAATCACTTAGCTCGCTGTGAGCTAAGACAAAGAATTTAATGCCAGTAGCTCACAAAGTAGAATTTTTGCTCACAGGACTCCAAAGCTTAGAGGGAGCATTGGTTACAAGGGCAAGACGACAGGCACTGTGAAGATCTGTGGCGTGTGAAGGCCAGTGGTAAAAGTTAGTGTGTTGCGCCGCTGCCCCCCCCATCACTCCCACCTAATTGCAGGGGCTATTCCTGAGTGCCTTTGGCTGACAAATGGCACTTTATTCCCATTTTGGTGATCAAGAGGCCAAAATCCGACAATGGGAAGAAAAGAAGCTGAAAAAGCAAGCCACAACGAGCTTTGCTTACTAGTATATATTTATAAAGAAGATCAAAGTTTGGGGCATAGTTGTTCTAGAGGAAACTGTCACCTGAAATCTGAATACTTTGGGGGGAAAGATTGTGCTTGAAAATTCTGCATTGCGGTTATTGCTAAACCTTTACTCAAAGGGTGTTTACTGCCCTAATTAGCTTGGTTTAAATGAAAGTTTAAAGTATATCAGAAGTTCATTGGCCTGCTGGCACATTGTTGTCCAGTGCTTAGCACTCCTCCTAGACAAACTCATGGACCACGTTCAAAATCTTTGTGGCTTGGAAAGCAGAGTTACTGGCATGACATTTAGCTGGAGCTGTGATTAAGCTGCCTTCTGTGCGTTTTCATTTTTAGGCATTTGACTATGAACAGAAGAAGCTGTTAGCAACCAAAGGTATGTGGGACAACTCTGACTTTGCAGCCTATATCTGTTTGTTAACAGTGCAGTGAAAAGGAGTTTCTGCCTCCCAGCATCAGCACTCTCCCCCCCCCCCCCCCCATTTTGGGGGGGGGGCTGTGGAGAAACTGTATCTTGGGACAAGTTTTGCAATCCAAACTTGTATGTGTGTAAAAACCCTGGGACGGCTGCTATGTTTTACGTAACAAGAAAACACTGTAAACCTCGGCCTCTATGCCCTGTTGTTGGCCCTCCATAGGAACTGGTTGGCCACTGTGTGAGACAGGATGCTGGACTGGATGGACCACTGGTCTGATCCAGCAGGGCTCTTCTTATGTTCTTATGAAACATCTTAGCTTTTTGGCCTGTGATGCTCTTTCTTGGGACTGGCATTTAGAATAAACGATCCTCTGGTTTCTGTCCAATTCTACTGTTTTGTTTTTGCCACTTGTTTTTTTTCTGTTGTTACACTTCCACATAGGCTTCCCTCAAGGATAATTGTGTTAAAAACATATACCCTGTTTTTATGGCCGCTTAGGTAGCCAGTTCAGAGTCCTTTGCCAGGCACCTTGAGTGCATGGAGGTGGTGCCATAAGTTCTTACATCCCACACCTCAGGGCCTAAGAGCTGAAGAGGGTGACAACATGTATATAGCCATGCATGTGGGACAACCTTCCCTAGCACATCGAGGAAAGCCCCCAGAAATTAGATAAACTGGTATCTTATAGTGTAGGTCCAAGATTCTCATATCGTACATACAGTATTCCCAGCTGAACTGGCTCTTGGAAAAATGCAGGTCTGTTGGACCCTTTTTTGGGGGGGGGGGGTTTTGAATGAAGAAGGCGAACATTGAGAGAAAACTGTAGATTTATATGAGCTACTAATATGCTGCATGTAGAATACTGGCTAGGCATTAGGGGTGAGTGTGGCGTCCTCTTATTTGGGAGGACTGGTTTTCTCTTTATATGTGTTCTTTGCTTTTGTAAACTGGGTATTTTCTGCTGCCACCAGGAATTTAAGGACTTCCAAACATTCTCTCCTTTGCTGTTGGTAATGTGACCCAGAGTCTGGGCTTTTCCGGGATCTATGTGGTCCTGAGGAAAGACAGAACTGAATTCTGGGATAATTTTGAACAAAAGATGATTTATTAAAATAAGAACAAAGTATGAAGTTGGTTATTCTGTAACTGTTTGGGAATAAGGGACTTGTAAATATGTCTGGCAAATTTATCACACAAACAGTCCTTATTTTTGACACTCAGAGCTAACACTAACAGGAATCACTCTTTCCTATAGGTAGCCACACAGGCTAAACTCTTGATAATTTTAACTTCCTTCCAGATCTTTAGAGTCTCACTTTTTAAGACATAGTACTGCAGTCTTTTAGATCCCACACAGAACTATCAGAACTCTCACTGGCTGAACTCTCTAACTGAACAATTCCCACAACCTTTTCTAACTGACTTTCATAACTGACTAACTGGCACCCACACAGATCCACACAGAACAACTCCTCCCACCTTCTGTCATCGTCCAATCACACCCCACTTGTCTCTCTCAATCACTCCACTCTGCATTCACCGCATTGCAGCCAAACATTTAAAGAGACACACACTCTCTAAAACAAGGAATCATTACAGTGAGATTCATTTTATCCAAGCTAAGGCTAAGTTTACAGGACATAGGCTTCCAAATAATTTTTTTTTTTTGCCTTTTCTCAAGCAATGTTAAAGAAGCCAGTTGTCACAGAAGTGAGGACGCCAACCAACACCTGGAGTGGACTTGGCTTCTCCAAATCCATGCCAGCTGAAACAATCAAGGAACTAAGGCGAGCTAACCATGTATCATACAAGCCGTCTATGACGATAACATACGAGGTATGTTGAGCAATTGGTAGTGGTCTCTTTAGAATGTAAATTGTGCATGCAGAGTGTTGGATCTTGAACACGTACAGACTTGGGAGGGGAAGAGGTTGCAAAGTTCAAGGGCTTTGGGTCCTACCAGACCAGAAGGGGATCCCTCTTAAACAAAATGTATTGAACATAGGGAATTGTAGCGAGAAGCGGGAACTGGGTCGCCCGATCTCATCAGATCTCAGAAGCTAAGCAGGGTCGGCCCTGGCTGGTATTTGGATGGGCGACCTCCAAGGAATAGCAAAGGCATGACCCAGAGGCAGGCAACGGCAAACCACCTCTGACATGTCTCTTGCCTTAAAAACAAGTCTAGCTCACCACCTAGTGGTGCATAACGTTAAAAGAGCTAGAACTTCTGGCTGCCAGACAATCTTAGGATCCCCTGGCTATACTACACACACTGCTGTACTATAATTATTATTTGGGTAAATTCACCTCTTCTTTCCTCTTCCCGTGGCTGTTTCCTTACTCCTCACTTAGCCTCTTGTATCGCCTGGTTTTCAGCAAATTATTTTTCAGGGGAAGATCCATTTCACATACTTCTTCTGCTTGCCCTTCCATAGGATAAAACACAAGGTCTTTAGGGACATTAAGATACAGGGAAGCTTAGTCAATGAACTCTGCAAGTTTACCTTACCCATCATTTACTGATGATACTTATGATGATACTTATGATGATACTTATTAAAAACTTGTTTGATGGACATTTTGCAGAATCCAGGCATTGTGCAAGAAATAGAAACAGCGTGCAGGAAATACAAAGGCCTAGTGTGGCTATGGTGGATCACTCCCAAAGTGCTTCTAGACAATTCCTGTGGCCTGTCAGATCTTCCAGTGAAGGTGGTGGTGACCAATTTGGGGAGGGGCTGTGGCTCAGTGGGTAGAGTATTTGCTTGGCATGCAGAAGGTCCCAGGTTCAATCCATGGCATCTCCAGTTGAAAGGACCAGGTAGTAGGTGATGGGAAAGACCTCTGCCTGAGACCCCAGAGAGCCACTGCCATTTCATGTAGAGAGTACTAATTTTGATGGACCATGGGCCTGATTCAGTATAAGGGAGCTTCATGTCTGTTCATTTGTATGCCACGGATAGTGGGGCACGGTCATGATTCCACAAGAACAAGAAGAAGAGATTGGATTTATACCCCGCCCTTCACTACCCAAAGGAGTCTCAGAGCGGCATACAAACTCCTTTCCCTTCCCCTCCCCACAACAGACACCCTGTGAGGTAGGTGGGGCTGAGAGATCTCTTGACAGAAACTGCTCTTTTTCAAGAACAGCTGTGCCAGAACTATGGCTTGCCCAAAGTCATCCAGCAGGTGCAAGTGGAGGAGTGGGGAATCAAACCCGGCTCTCCCAGATTAGAGTCCGCGCGCTTAACCACTACACCAAACTGGCCATGGTTTGGTGCCATAGGAATGATTTTGGGGGTAACTAGCAAGGGGTACCCACAGTATAAATCTTACTCCCTTCTTCATAAATGTGTATGGGGAAGTATTTGGGGGGTCGTGTCATAATATAATGTATAGCGTGTCACTAAGAGTCCCATTTACTACATTCTTATCCTGCTTTCAGTGGTAGTCTTCAAAACAGCTTGCCTCACTTGAAGAAATCATTAACAATCTCCCCCCCACCCCACATTTCATATCCTTGATTTAGTCATCCCTCTCACTGAGTGAATATTTTGAACCTCCCTCCTAGGATGAGAAGTCCTTGATATTCTGAGAACCAAGCAAAGCTTTTCTGCCTCTGATGTTAAGATGGCAGTTGCTTGGGTTGGGGTTGGGGTGTCTCCATCCCTCCCCCCCAGGCTGAAAGGTCTTTACTGTCCTGAGAGTTAAGCTAACAATCTTCTCTCTCCACCCTTCCACAATTTGCACTGTGAAGGAATGTCATTCCACGTTTCTTGTCCTGTCTCACTTTCACACAGGATGCCGCAATCATGTTTGGATTTCCCAATTTCCTCCTCCTCCTCCTGCTGTGATTTGCTGTGGCTCATCGGCAGTGAGATTGTGGTGTTTTTGGCGTGTGGTGCTGAGGGGAACTAGGAATATTCTTTCAGGGCTCTGCTTGGCTTTTTTGGTCTCAGAATAATGTACATTGTGCTCTGCTGGTAGGCCTTTCTCCCTTTAGCTCTGAAGGAACAATCCCTGCCACATACCAGGTATCCCATATATATACTTGGCCCAAGACAAGTCTGGTTTTGCTGCCTTTTTACTGGAAAAACAAAGTGGCTAGGTGAGGCCACAGGACTGAGGCAAAGTAAAAGACCAGTGGTGAGACCACACCTTACTCTTTGCTGAGTTCGAACCACGGCAGAAGCCATGTGCTCTCATTAATTCCTTCCCTCACACCAAGTCAAAATTATTGCATTAAATGGGATGCAAATCATCTGCATATCGCTGAATGGGTTTCAAGTGATGAAAACAAAGTGGGTTTTTCCTTAGGAACAAGTTTCGATATGGAGTACCATGTGTTTTCCATTATCTTCCTGAGCCATTTTACTTTTGCTTCCTTGGGGGAGTTGCAGTTTATTAGGAGACTAAAAATGTTTTTCTGTGTCTGAGTCATTTGGCTGCGGCCCAGCAACAAACCACAGCCCTGGGCTTCTTTGCTCTGTAAACAGTTTCTTCAGAGACTCCAGCGCTTATTGTTTGTGCTGTGCTTTAGAACATGTGGGGAAAATAATTCTTTACCCAAAACACCAGAGGTCCCTTTGTTTTCCTACATGTTTTGGGTGGGTTTTCAGCGCTCCCATTGGCCTTAGAAAGCACTCCTGTCATGGCGCTTGACATCATTTTCCAGAATGATAAGCCAGGGGCTTGTGGGTTGGGTCACCAACCTGCCGATTGGGGGTGGAGGATGGCAAAAGAAACTGTTATTGGAGAACTGATTTCACTTCCAAGTCAGTGTTAAGACCGGCCAGACAAAAAGTGCTGTGATGTTGGTAGGGCCCCTCTCTCTTTTTTAAAGTATTGACAAAAGCAAAACACTGTCGTACAAGTTTAGTTTTGTAGCAGCCAGACAAGTGCCTTTTATTCAGAACTGTTGTTTGTTTGTTTTTTTTCCCTGTGAGGCAGTCTCTTACTTATGGAAATTAATTTTTACACAGTGCTCACTGGAGACATTCTTTGGCGCTGTCTGTTCGCTCCACATTTTGTTTTCCAGTGTTATGAGTACAAACCTCATTGCCTGCGAAATGCCATTTATAGAAGCCTTCAACCATATGCTCCAAACCATTGTTAAGCAGCAGAAGAAAAAGAAGAACTCAAATCCAGCTGATGTTTTGTGCCTTGTGTCTCTGCTCTATATGTTTTATGCAGGGCTTTATTTTTGCCTTCCTCAGGGAAACCGGCACTGGGATGCAGAGTTCTAGTCTTCAGTGGGCTGCCTTTTAAAATTAAGCATTAATTAGCACAAATTATCCTTCAGAGGACCTGTTCGTAAAGCAGGTCTGTTGAGTATATCTATTAAGGACGTGTGTGTATTGGGACGATTCAATTACAGCGAGGGCTTCATTCTGAACTCTTGTATGTGTCTGTGTGTGTGGTTTTCCCCACTTTCAATTGTTTCTGAGTACATCTTCATTGTCTGATACTGTTCTGCCGCCTCTTGTTCCCTGGGCGGCTGCGGCTGCTCCTTGGCGCTATTTGCCTTCCTCTTTCTCTGCCCTTACTACCACTTTACTGAGCCAGCTGGGCCAACCAGTGCAGTTTTGTTGATGGCCATCCATGATGTCCTCAGCAAAACCATGAGGGTCACAGGCTAAGTGGCAGCGAGGTACAGGACGCTGGGGCTGTTGAAGACAAGGAACGCCTCTGAGAGGTGCCAGTCGAGGGGACGAGAGGGCCAAACAGTGGCTAAACGATATAATGATGACTCTTCCAGTAACTGGTGCAGATGCACTGGATATGCTGAGCCGAACCAAATATCAAAGCCTAGTGCGTATTCGTTGCGGGGCTGGTTTACTGTGCTCTGCAGAAATAAATGAAAGTTCAGTAGGTTCAGGATGGACAAAAGGAAATATTACTTTACACAGAGAGTGATTAAAATGTTGAACTTGCTTCCAGAGGATATAGTGATGGCCACACGAATAAACAGCTTTAAAAGGGAATTAGATAGATCCATGGAGGACTGTTCCCTGGAAGGCCAGAAAATGAAACTGAAGCTCAAATACTTTGGCCACCAAATGAGAAGGGAGCACTCACTGGAGAAGACCCTGATGCTGGGAAAGACTGAAGGTCAAAGAAGACGGGGACGGCAAAGGATGAGATGGTTAGACAGTGTCATAGATGCAACGAACATGAAATTGAGCAAACTTCAGAGGACGGCGGAAGACAGGAAGGCCTGGCGTGATCTGGTCCATGGGGTCGCGAAGAGTTGGACTCGACTGTGCGACTGATCAACAACAAAAATGGAGGATAGGTCTATCAGTGGTTACTAGCCATGGTGACTGAGGGGAACCTCCACATTCAGAGGCACTAACCCTCTGAATCCCAAAGCCAGGAGGTAACATCAGGACCCGACCTTGGTCTCTATGCCCTGTCCAGACGGGATGCTGGACTAGATAGACTGTTGGTCTGATCCAGCAGGGCTCTTCAGATGTTCTTAAATGTAGTAGTAACTGACCACTGTATGTGTAAAAGTGTATCAGATTCCAATGTCTATTGACATCAAGTTTTAATTTTGCCTTCAGCTGCCTGTGGAGGTAGTGTCAGGGAGAAGGAGAAGTGGGGTTGTCACAGAGGAGGTTCTCCATTTTGCTCTTTCTGTGCATGTTTGCCTTTGTGGGGCCTCTGCTGGCCCCCATGGAAGCGTGCTTTGAAACACATGCATGAAGCTGCCTTATACTGAATCAGAACCTTACATAAGAACATAAGAGACGCCAATGTTGGATCAGGCCAAAGGCCCATCCAGTCCAACACTCTGTCACACAGTGGCCAAAAATACCAGGTGCCATCAGGAGGTCCAGCAGTGGGGCCAGGACATTAGAAGCCCTCCATATGCTTATCTAATTCCCTTTTGAAGCTGTCCATGCTTGTAGCCGCCACCACTTCCTGTGGCAGTGAATTCCATGTGTTAATCACTCTTTGGGTGAAGAAGTACTTCCTTTTATCCGTTCTAACCCGACCGCTCTGCAGTTTCATGGAGTGCCCACGAGTTCTTGTATTGTGAGAAAGGGAGAAAAGTACCTCTTTCTTTACCTGCTCTTTCCCATGCATAATCTTATAAACCTCGATCATGTCACCCCTCAGTCGTCTTTTCTCCAAGCTAAAGAGCCCTAAGTGCTTTAACCTTTCCTCATAGGGAAAGTGTTCCAACCCTTTTATCATTTGAGTTGCCCTTTTCTGCACTTTTTCCAAAGCTATAATATCCTTTTTAAGGTGTGGTGACCAGAATTGCACACAGTATTCCAAATGAGGTCTCACCATTGATTTATATAGGGGCATTATTATATTGGCTGATCTGTTTTCAATACCCTTCCTAATAATCCCCAGCATAGCATTGGCCTTCTTTATTGCAGTCACACACTGTCTCGACATTTTCAGTGAGTTATCCACTACAACTCCAAGATCTCTCTCTTGATCAGTCTCTGCCAGTTCAGACCCCATCAATGTGTATTTATATTTAGGTCCATTAAGGTCAGTGTTGTCTACTCAGACTGGCAGCGGCTCTCCATGGTCTCAGGCAGAGGTCTTCCACACCACCTCCTACCTGATCCTTTTACCTGGAGATGCCAGGGATTGAACTGGGTACCTTTTGCATACCATGCAGATGCTCTGCCACTGAACCACAGCCCCTTCTGCAATGAGGGTCACCACCGGTTGGTTCGCATAACTTCATCAAACAATGGTTATAAGCAGGGCTCTTTTTGTAGAAAAAGCCCAGCAGGAACTAATTAGCATAATAGGCCACACCCAACAGCAGGAAATCATTAGCATATTGGGCCACACCCCTGACAGCACAGCTCATTAGCACATTAGGCAGCACCCCCATGTTACCAGAAGTGTGGTTATCCAGCCACACCCACCTTTTGCTTGTTATTCTGTTTACCTTGTTTGTTGTCAAAACCCAGGGCTTTTTTGTAGCAGGGACTCCTTTGCATGTTAGGCCACACACCCCTAATGTAGCCAATCCTAATGAGTTCCTGCTGTTGGATGTGGCCTATTATGCTAATGAGTTCCTGCTGGGCGTGGCCAACTCGGGAGCCAGCCGGAACTCCGTTCCTGTGCGTTCCTGCCCAAAAATAGCCCTGGTTATAAGCGACTTTTCCGCTCCGTTTTCATGTCAACCCCCCCCCCCCATTTTATTTTTTTCTTCTGGATTTTCTTACAGGGTTCATCAATGTCTCTCTCGCGGTCCAACAGCCGGGAGCACCTGGGCGGCAGTAGTGACTCTGATAACTGGAGAGATCATAACGGCATCGGTCCGGCAGCTCCCAGCAATTTTGTCTCGTCCATTGGCAGCCCTAAACGGAAACAAAACAAATCCAGTAATGACGTTAAAACTTATTTTTAAAAAATAAAAATAAAAATTGGGGCATGACTGAACTAATGCAATACTGTTGGATGAGATCAAATTTTGTTCCAAGCCTAGAAAATACAAAATATATTTCATGAATGATGCTGGGTTGGGAATACTAGGGCAGAGCTAAATGTTAGAAATGCAACCGTGCTGCTGGAAATGTCAGCAGCGTTTCGATTTCCCTCTCTGTCACAACGTGTAGCTTAGTTTATGAAGGACAGGTCTGTCGATAGCCATCAGCCACAATGTCTGAATTGGATCTCCATGTTTGGAAACAACATACCACTGGGGATAATAGCAGTGGGGAGGTTTTAAGTCCCTCCTTGTGGTACCTGGTTGGCAACTCCAGAAAACAGGATGCTGGACCAGATGAACAATTGTTCTCATCCAGCAGAGTTCTTATGGTCTTAATGCCTGGTTGAGTGTTTCCATACCACATCTTGGGTTGCTGTGGTTTGGGTGGAGAAGTATTTGGTATGAAGTTGGAGTCTACATTATAGAGGCAGGGTGGGTTTTTCTAGGATGTAGTTCTTCCAGTTCTGATACTTCAGTAGTGCTTTCAGCGTGTTGTAAATGTTGACAGTGCAGACATAACACAACATTACAGTTTGTTTGTTTGTTTTTTAAAAAATATGGCTAGCTTTATGAAACTAAGATTTGGCTCTCAAACTGTAGTTCAAGAAACGATCACGTAGCAGATGCTGCTTTTGTGGTCATCCCTCCTGGCTAGGCATCTCAGTAGCCCAGAGGAGTGCAGTGGTTGGGTTATGGGAACCCTGGCAGGGAATAAGTCAGGAAGAATACCTCATTCATAAGGGTAGCCAAGGCATACTTCAAACCGTGGTTTCAAATACTGGATTGACAGACTGTAAACTAAACAGAGTAAGTAGAGCAATCCCACTAAGTGGGTGATCCCAATAACCACAGTTATTATGATTAAACTGTGGTTTTTGCATTATACCATCAGTGAGAGCAAACCGCTTTGCGCAGAGAGTAAACAAAAGCTGCTCATCAGAGTGGCTTATGCACCGCTAAAGTAGTTTCAGTGGGTTGAAGTGCAAATTGCTTGGCGACTCAAACGTCCTTCCTTTCTCCCGACTGTCCAGCTGAACATTATCTCAGCAGCAGCAACTACATGGACTGCATCTCTTCGCTGACCGGAAGCAACGGCTGTAACTTGAACAGTCTATTTAAAGGGTCGGACCTGCCCGAGCTGTTCAGCAAACTGGGCTTGGGCAAATACACAGACATATTCCAGCAACAAGAGGTCAGTGTTTGGAGGGAAAACCCCAAGCCTGGAAAGTAAGTCTGGGCTTCTGAATGTTTCCATGCTTATGGCAATCAGTGGCTCGTAAAGTAAGCATGTGTGAACTCGCCCATCTCTTGGGTTGGATCCTATAAAGCAGGGGTCCCCAACCTTCTGTCACATGGGGGGACTCCACATTAGACCACCCAATGCCTAAGGAGGGCCACATCTTAAATCAAAATGTAACAAAATTATTAACCTACCTATTTAGATCAAAAGGAAACATTCAGAGGTCAATGAAGAAATGTTAACTTTTGAATACAATCCATTTTAGAACAATATTTTACTCTGGGATCCTTTTATCTAGCTACACATGCTTACCTAGTCAGTGTGATTTTTTGTGCCTGTTCCCTGTTAGCCAAGGCATTAATGAAAGTTGATAAATATATCAGGTAGACCAGAATAGAAATCTAACAGTCTGTTTTCTTTATAAATGTCTCTGAGATGATCACTGGCTTGCAAATCAATTAGTTCCATTTGAAAAAAAGTTACTTGCATCTTCTGGTGCTACTTCAAATGGATTCTGAAACATTCTTATTTCCTTTCCGTGCTTATGGAAATCAGTGAATCTGTTCTGAAATCCCACCTGCAATAGGTCCCATGCTTTGATGTGTCTTTCAGCACTGCATTTTAAATTGTGGTCCTTCTCAAATGTTAGTCCATTGCAGCATGAGAAGTTTGAAAAGTTATCCTCACTAATTTGCTTAACAAAAACATTTAGTTTTTTCTTCAGAGGCTTTCAATTCAAAATACATGTCACACACAAGCTTTCCTTCCCCCTGCAACCTTAGATTCAGTATGTTCAGATGCTCTGTGATATCAGTTAAGAAAGCCAAATCAAAAATCTATTCACGGTCAGAAAGTGCTTCATGATGAAGACTGGAAAAACGTTTCAGGACTTTGCCTCTGCTAAGCCGCCTGACTTCTGCATGGTGCATAGATGCATCGCAATATTCTGCATCTATCTCTGAGAGAAAATTTTGAAACTGATGGTGACTAAGGCCATGATTCCTGATGTAATTAATGCTGGATACAACAATATGCATCACACTTTCCCACTGATGAATCTTACTGCACTAAGCTTGCTGATGGATGATGCAGTGAAATTGCGTGGGAAGTGTACCGTCTCATTTCAGTATCTCTTCCTTGATTCTTGCAACGACACCAGTTTTACTTCCCATTATATTTCTTGCAACATCACTTGTGATGCTTTTCAATGTATCCCAACTCAGACCAAAATTTTCTACTGATTTACACACCTTCAAGAATATGTTTTCTACAGCCTTTCAAACTCTGCAGTGCACCCAATGCTTCTGTAATTCTGAAGTTGGAATCTATCCCCCTGATAAAAAATAGTAGTTGAACAGTGTCTATAATGTCATTGCTGTCACCTGATGCGAAAGAAAAAAAGTTTAAACTTTTTGCCTTGACAATCAGTGACACATGCAGGTCTTCTCCTAGTTCTTCAACACGCCTGGTGATTGTAGATGTAGATAAACTGACAGAACTAACACAAGATCAGGGCACATTTCCTCCATTATTTTTACTATGCAGTTTTTAACAAATTCGCCATCAAATTTGTCTACCACTCTCAGCAATACATTTAGCAACATGATTGCTGGCCCTCACAGTAGACAGGTTCTCCTAACCATGACAACTATTTTGCTACAAAAATTAATTTTTAAAGAGACTTTATATTGTTCACTCACACCTCTCCTTGATGAGTAGCTCTTGTGACAGGATTCAAAGTGCCTTTTAACATTGTACTCCTTTAATACAGAGACAGATTCAAGACATAGCAGGCAAACTGCTTTATCCTTGTTTAAAACAAAGAAGTACTCAGTCTGTCATTAAAAACAACAGTGCTCATCTGCAATTTCTCATTTCTTTGAAACAGCACTTTCTTTTGCAGACATCTTCTTACAGAATTTTTAGTAGAGTGGCAGAGTTTCAATATAATTGAATAAATAAAAATATTAGAAGTATAGTTTTAGGGGCCTAACCCTTCCCCTTTCCATCAAATCCACCCCACTCTACCTGCTGTTAGCTGGGGATTTTCATTCCAACCATGCAAAGAAGAGAAGAGACCCCTGCCTCCCTAACCACTATAGTTCTCAGGAGTATTGGGCCATATACACAGGCTCGGAAGAATTCTTTTTTAAATGGATTCTGAGTCTGACCTATCAGACGGCAGAGTTGCAATCCTAAGTACATTGAATACTATAAGATTTATGTCTTAATAAACACAGTGCCTTAAGGTTTAGGTTTACACATGCCAATTCTTTTTTTTTAAGGGGAAAAAATTGGGAGCCCTCCAAAAAAGGGCAGGTACTAGAAAGAAAGAGTGAAGGAAAGGGCAGCCTCCCACCTGGAGAAGAGGATATGCCATTAAAGTTGGCTTCAGATTTTATGCAGGGTGCACATATACATCACTGCCTGCCAGCCAAGCCTTGATCATGGCAGCTGAAGGGAGGGAGCTTGGCTGGAGGAAGATGTGGGAAGGGAATCCTATAAGCTCCCCTGCTAAAAGAGTATTCCTTCCCTCTCGACCCAAGGGTGCCAATCACCAGTTCTTGCAATCACAGATGCATGAGAAGACTCCTAGTTGGAGTGGGTGAGGAAGGAGAGGTGGAAGCAAGCAAGGCAAGAAGGGTGTGGTCACACAGCAAGCTTACCGGGATTTGTTCCTGTTGTAGATTTGATCGGGGATATTTTTTAGCGGGTTCGGATGATCACACATCCCTTGCCCAACCGCTTGCCTCGCACGTCAAGGCTCCAGGCACCGTCCAAACAGCCACGCTGGCCAAGTGGCAGCGAGGCGGATTATTTTTTTTAAAAAAAAATCTTTGTGCATGTGCATATATGCATGCGCAAATCACATCTCCCGCTTGGATGCAGCGTTTTCCCCTCAAACAGCAAACAACATGAACTACCGATGTGCAAACGAGCGCTGGTCTATGTGCGCTTGAGTATTCATGCATTTAATACATTCAGCACAGGATTGGTCATGCACACAATGGTGAAAGCCGGAGAGGGAAAAAACTACCGCAAGAAGGACGTACAGATGACCTAATCACATTCATAGTGAGAGATGGCTGTCCAGATAGGAGAAATTGTGGATTCACAGCGCACGTAGTAGGAAAATACTTGATTTTCCTGGTGTGTCAGAAAATGCACTAGAAAACCGGGAGGATTGCGGTGGTGAATCTGCTTCGATGGGGGGGACAGAATCAGCTGTCTGACCAGCCCTTTTCATTATTATTTTTCTAGATTGATCTTCAGACGTTCCTAACTCTCACAGATCAGGATCTAAAAGAGCTTGGGATTACTACTTTTGGTGCACGAAGGAAAATGCTGCTTGCAATCTCAGGTAAACAAGACCACCAGTTCTTGTACATCTTATCCAAGAACCCCTTCATTTCTCGGTCTGTCAGGGTGCTACAAGAACGGTAGGAGTGTGCATTCAGCTATATCCAAGCAAAAAAATAAAATTTAAAAAAAAAACCTTATCAGTATTTTCTGGCCATTCTTTCAGCCAAATATAGATGTAGGGGTTTTTTTGGCTATCCAAAATGGCCAAGCCCCCCAAATCCTGAAAATATTTGAGATTTTTTGGGACCAACAGATAGTCGGAGTTAAAAGGCTTTTAAAGGATTGCAGCCCCTTTAAATGCCTTCCGGGTGAACGCACCACTTGGAGAAGGTGTTGAAAGGGACTGCAAGCCCTTCAAATGCCTTCGGAGGTCATTCGCAGCTTAGAGAAGGCATTTAAAGGGACCACGGTCTTTTTGAACACCTTTTCCCTCTCCATTGAATCCAGTGGAGGATGGGAGCACCTTCTATGGGGGCCCATAGAGTTGGACCCCTGGTCCAATCTTTTTGAAACTTGGGGGGGTTGAGGAGCTATGCTGCAAATTTGGTGCCTCTACCTCAAAAAACAGCCTCCTCGAGGCACAAATACCCCTGGATCGATTCTCCATTATATCCTATGGGGACCTTGGCTATAAAGGTCCCCATAGGGGACCTTGGGTATAAAGGTCCCCATAGGGTGTAATGGAGCCAAAAAAATTAGGGATGTCAGAAAAATTTTGAATACTACACGGTATTGGGATTCACAAATATCATAAAATACCATTGTTGGGGTTTTTTTTCAGATTCAATATACTCGAACCCAAAATATATATATTTTGAGCGGTGGCTCAAGTGGTTAAGACGCTGAACTGCAGGCTGTGGAAGGTCAGTAGTTCAGCAGTTCGAGACCCGAGTGTGCTGCATGACGGAGTGTGCTCCTGTCTCTAGTTCCAGCTCCTGCCAACCTAGCAGTTCGAAAGCAAGAAATTGCAAGTAGATCAATAGGTACCACTTCGGTGGGAAGGTAACAGCGTTCCATGTGCCTTGGTGTTTAGTCATGCCGGCCACATGACCACAGAAACGTCTTCGGACAGCGCTGGCTCTTCGGCTTTGAAACGGAGATGAGCACCGCAACCCTATATATAAAACCATGCTCAGGATTTATGTAGTCCAGATCGGGCTTTAGCTCAGTGGAGTTTCTGATTGGCTGTGCAGGGTTTTTTAAAAAAAAAACAACAACAACATTGCTTTGGCAGCAGCTGCCACCACTGCACAAGGATCATCACTGCATGACTGAAGGCAAGCTCTGCGTATGTGAATTATATGCCCCTGCTGCGGAGACAAAGGGCTGACCCAGGGGAGGCCTGGCTATTCTAGTCTCTACAGAACTTCAGGCTACAGTAGTAAAATCAGAGCCAAATGCCCAACATGTACAGGCTGTAGCTGTACAATTCAATAGATTTTGGCTTATTGTTAATGCATACGTAGCCCCCCAAGATAATAAGCATAGGCTACAGGAAATCTGGAGTAAGTACATAACTAGTCTCCTACTGACGTTCCCTGATGCCTTTGTTTTAGTAGCTGGCGATTTTAATGCCAGAGCCAGCCCCTCTGATGTAACATTGTATTTAAGCAAGAATGCCGCCCCCCCCCTAAGATGAGTCAGCATTTCCCTTAACACACACACACACACACCCCGCAGACAATCCAAAGATTCAAAATCAATTTGGAAAGGATTTCCCTCAGTACAATTAGCAAGCAGATTAGATTTGTATATTCTGAATGGCACAATCGAGGTTGATATTCCTGGGGGAGTACACATTCTGGTCAAGCCGAGGCCCTAGTGCCATTGATTTTGTCCTTGCTTGTGCAAACTGTTAGATTGCGTAGCTTACTTAAGAGTCGGGACCCACCAAGATAGCAGCCACCTGCCAATCAACCTTAGCATTAAAGATTCAAAATCTAACAAGTCCATCTAACTGAGAAATTTGATGCAGAGCTGACTCGTGTTTCTGGTTATAAAAGAATCCAATGGTCCAAAAATGTAGATAAGCAAACCAAAAATGTTTCTCAGCTCTGATAAGATCTTCCAGCTTCGCAGCAAAATGATCGATTGGAGGCACTTTGAAACCATCCTAGAATGTTATCTACAAATATCTAATGGATGGCAAGAACTGCTCACTAAAAGCAGACCCACCCTAGAGCCCCCACACAACCATGATTCGGTCAGGATTTTTTGTCAGCAAAAAAAAAAAAATCAATTCATTGCCAAGTTTACTCAATATAAGTCACAGAACGTCTGCCACCACCGCACAAGGATCATCACTGTATGACTGAAAGTAAGCTTGTGTGTGTGTGCGTGCATGTATAGCACTTTAGAACAATGACAACAATGGGAACAGCAATGTAGTAACAATGAAAGACAAAAAATTGCTGCAAACGTGCACACAGAAGTAAATTACACTGAAGTAGATTTCATGATGTATGATCTTTATATTCAACAGGTAAACAGACTGGCAGACGAACTTCTCGAGTTGATGCTCGTTTCGAAGTGCCTTTCTCAAATGAGTCTCCTGTCAACACACAATTTCAAATAGTAACAGGGAACCCTTCAGCCAGATATAAAAATTAACAATGCTTAAGTAACTACCTAATACATACAATTTTCCATCCATGTGCAATAAAGTCGACAATGGAATTATTTGTCCATTTGAAATGTTATACTTGTAGCTATATAGCTTTGGGAGAAGACCATTTTGATTCAAGATTCCATTGTCGACTTTATTGCACATGGATAGAAAATTGTATGTATTAGGTAGTTACTTAAGCATTGTTAATTTTTATATCTGGCTGAAGGGTTCCCTGTTACTATTTGAAATTGTGTGTTGACAGGAGACTCATTTGAGAAAGGCACTTCGAAACGAGCATCAACTCGAGAAGTTCGTCTGCCAGTCTGTTTACCTGTTGAATATAAAGATCATACATCATGAAATCTACTTCAGTGTAATTTACTTCTGTGTGCACGTTTGCAGCAATTTTTTTGTCTTTCATTAATACTTTAGAACAACCAGCTACGAGTTTGCTTTCCCAGCTCTCCCCTTGCATGTTTTTTTAAATGAACAGCACTTGTTAACTTGTTCAATTAAAACACATCTGTCTAGTCCCTGTTCAACTACTAGTTTCGTTTGTTTTTTTTCATGGGAGTTTCCCCCTCTCTTCCCCCTGCAGAACTGAACAAAAACCGAAGAAAACTGTTCGAGCCCTCCAGCATCCGTGCCTCATTCCTGGAAGGCGGAGCTAGCGGACGGCTGCCGCGTCAGTATCACTCGGACATTGCTAGCGTGAGCGGCCGCTGGTAGCAGTAAAGGGAAGCTCTTGCGGTCGACTGCGCAACCTGACATGGCGATCCTGTGGACGGCCATCACTGCACACCACCCTCTGCACTTTGGGAGTCTAGGTACCGAGGACCAAAGCCTTTCTTTTCTGCACAAAACCCTTGTGCCAAAAAAAAGAGAGAGAGAAAGAGAGAACACTCGTTTTTGTCTTTCCAAGCACCAAATGTGGATTGTTTTACTTGTGTAGATTGGACAGAATTTGCAATATAATATAGGGTTCTTTAGTATTTTATTACTTATAATAACGATATTGTATGCACTGAATTTTTTTATATTTCTTTGAACGAAGAGTGAAGGGCTGGGATACAAGAGGGGCATAGCATGTGGGTTTTGGTTTGTTTGTTTGTTTTAACAAGAAGGTATTTCTGGTACTGCTTAAAAATTAATTAATTGAGGTCTTTCTGCACTTTACATGTTCTGATTTCTTGTCCTGTGGAAATTTTATTGTTTCCCTCTAATTTCCATGGAGAGAAGGGGGAAACCCTATTGTTTGGCACTAATCAACGTTTGCCATTCGCCTTCCCACATTAGATGAAAAATCTTTACTCATGAATGGTACTAGCAAAATCAATTTTTTGATCATTTCTTCATTCTGCCCCCCCCCCCACCACCACCACCTGTAAAGAAGTCCTCCATAATCAGATTCCTTAGTACTGGAGCCAACCCTATTTTTTTCACTTCTGGGAAAGCAGTCTTGAAATCCTTGCAGTTGAGCTATCACACTGTAAAAAGATGCAATGAAAGATCAAAATGGACCTTATTGCCATCAATTTAACCCTATTTAATTGCTGCCTGTAATGCTAAAACTGATTTTAATGGTTGTCTCAAAGCAAAGGACTATTTTTTAGTATATACTGCCACTTTATTTATAGCAAGTGTCTTATTTTTTAGCATCTGTACACTTAGAGTACATCAGAGATTCAATCGACTAAAAAGCTGACAATAGAGAACGGAAGGGGATTTCATCCAACCAGAGCTCTGAGCCATCACTTTGTCTAAACAGAGCCTCAGTTCCATGTGAGAAGACAGACCTGTTGCATTCAGTTTGAGAAGGATGTTGCTTGCATGACTCTTCCTCAAGAGATAGAGCCAACACATGCCCAGTAGCTGCAGTGACATCTGCTTTTCAAGGATGAAGTTGTCAGCTATGAGAATTTTGAGATGAGCGGTTTCCAAAACCCCGTGTTGACTATCCCTGGAAAGAATCCATGTTGTGTGTGGCTAAGAGCTAGCAGTTGTGTTCTATACTGTGAATGGTCGAGAAATCTGGTTTATACCATTTCTGTCTTTTTTTGTTTTGCAAAACAACTAGACATAAATTTATGAAGTGATGGGGGATAGTACGAAGTGCCTCTCTGCAATGCAATAGGTTTCCAAACCTGAATTTATCAGAAAGAGAAAAACATTCCCATAGCAACTATTGTGAATTAACTTGTACTGTAACGTCTTATTTATGTACAATGTACACACCCTTTAAAGTGGATGTAAAAACCACTCGCAACCGAAGGCATTAGATTTAATCAATTTACCGTAGTGTTATTTTTATATATATATATATGCAAAATCTGGTGGGGAGAAATAGCTGTGACACTTTTCTGTGGATAATTCTTTTCTAGGGTGAGGAAAAACATAACACACAAAAGGGAATTAATTCTTTTTTTAAGTGAGAACATGGATGCAGTAGCAATCTATTACCCAGTTTTGTTAGTGGCTGTATAACTGAGCAGTTTGCTGCTGCTACTGAAAGGGCTGCTGGTCACCTTCCGCATGCTAAGTGAGCACTTACAGGGCTGTAGAGAGACTTTGGGGGCATGTGTGTGAAGTCATTCATTCAAACTGGAAATCCAAGCACCGGTCTTGAAACATAACAGATACTTCTGCATATGCAGTTAAAGGTAGAGGATCCTGATGCTAAAAACACTAATTTTTTTTTAAATCACGAGTACTCCCTTTGGTATGAGTCTGTTCATGTGTTGTAAAGTTAAGCACTTGTGTTAGTAGATCAGGACCTCTGCTTGCTCATGTAAAGTATTGGTACCAAAATGCAACTTGGGTTTTGTCTGGGACAGAGTTTAGAAGAGTATCAGCAGTCTCTAAACTCATATTGTCCCGCCTCCCGAGTAAGCATTCCCCCCCCCGCCAGAACTGTGGATATTGATTTTTTTATTCGTTTTTGTACTTAAAATGCCATGCTTTATGACAGTATTATTCCAGAAACCGCAGTTAAACTACTGGAATCTATGCTGAAGTAAAGAATTTCCCAGATAATAGGAATCAAGATAGAACTGCACATTCGTTCACACACCCTCACACGCCACACTGGAAAAGAAATTCATTTTTTTTCTCACTCCTTTTGATTCCACAAAAGGGAATATGGCCATGCAATATTCCGTATTGTCTGGTATTATGCACAATAAATATTGAAACATTAGTTTTAAATTTGTGCCTTTATAGTGACCAGTTATCTGTAAATATAGAGCAGATACAGATTGTATTTTGGGAGGGAAAGGGTCCTTTTTTAGTGATTCTTTTTTTAAAAAATAAATAAATGAAAGATGGAATAAAGCATTTACAAATGGGAATTTTTGAAATTAATCAAATGTTACATGAAAGAATAAATTTATATAACCCCTTGTTACACTGCTTATTAAATGTAGTCTTGTCGTCTTTCAATTAATGGTCTCACAATGTGGAAAAACTGTTCCTGAGGCAGATCAAATGAGTGATAATAATACTGTTGTACATATTGCAGGCCTCTCCTATCCTATCCTAAACAGAACTTGGCTTCAAAGAGCACTGATCATCCTCTAGAATATGGAGGGACACGTCTTCTGGATTGGATTAATCCTTAGTTCTTTCCAAGATCCACATGCTGATTTGCCACTCGGCAGCGGCAGCAGCAGTTAATGGAGAAGGGGAGCAGAAAGAGAAGCCACAGACTAGGATGGGGAGACGAAGTAGAAAAGCCAAGTGGGGTGGGAAGGAAGTCACCAGGTTGAGGAAAGGTTGGCCATTGGGTGAGGAAACAAGAAGGAAGATCAGAAGGGTGGATGACTGAGAAATGTCTGAGTACAGTTTTTAACAAAAGATTTTAAAAAGCCTCTCAAACATGGCAATAGTTAAATGAAAGTGAAAAGTTCACAAAAATGCCAAGAGTGAACACTAGGAAGCATTATGTAATCTGAAAATAGGGCTGCCAAGTGGAGGCGAGAGGGGAACCCCGCTTTGGAGGGCCGATTTCCGCTACGGCGGAATCGGGGCCCGGGGGGAACTCCGCCCCCCCGAAGCTGCGTCACCAGAGGTGACGCATGACGTACAGCACATTGGGGGCGTGACCCAGATCGTCGGGGGGGACATGGTTTCCCCCCGACGATCTGGGCCACGCCCCCAACGTTCTCTACGTCGTGTGTCACTTCCTGTGATGTTCTGGCTGCGCGTGCGTGCATCCCGATGCAGCTCCCAGATCGAGGAGACGCTCCCCCGCCCGTGAGTCAAAAAGACTTGGCAACCCTATCTGAAAACCATTGAGAAAAAGCAACAAAAGCACTCCATTCTTTAGCAAGAAGACTCTCCACAAACCCCTCACCATGCAAGTGAACATTCCCTGTTCACTGCCACAGGTCACAGTTACAGGTAGCATTTTCACAAGCCTTACCCTTCGTAAAGATTCCAACTTTCACCACAGTTACAATACAAAGTTACCTCAGTTTTATTATCGGTTCACCTCATAAATCCTACACCTGATTCCATCTGACCTTTTCTCCTCCAAGGTTAATACAACATATTTTGTTCATTTTGAACTTTCAAAAGCCTCTTGTGTGCCATTTCAAAAGCAGAGTACAAGAAGGTGATTTTGTCTCTTCCCTCAGTTCCCTGGGCTAGGCCAGCATAAATATATGTATGTATAATAAAGTGACTGGGTACAACAGCCATAAACATATAAGAAGAAAATAGATAAAGGGGCTGCTCACCAAGAAAGAAGACAGAAGGGGAAATCCCATGTGTGAGGGAGGGAGGAGGGTAAGGTCATCATATTTCTGTACAGGAGGAAAAACCCTACCTTGCAAGCAATTCTAACAAACAGCAGCTGCATTCTAGGAAAGGAAACCCTTTCATGAGGAAATGTAATCTGTGTAGACTCTGGGAATCTCTCCTTATATATAATCAAGTAGTGGGGTGGCACTTTCTGAGCATTCCACATGCCCCTAAATCAGTTGGCTCCATGATGTGTCCCTCAGAAGCTGTCCCTATCCACTGGCTGCATTGCCCAAGTCCCACCACAGAAGCGACGCCCGCCAAAACCATCAGCCATTGGCCTGTCAGCTGCCATTCAAGAGTACTCGTGTGCTGTTGGCTGGGTGCTGGGTCTGCTCCTCTTCCCCACCCACTCCCACTTCAGTCACTGTTCCCTGTCAGAATTACTGGCAAATAGCTGTCTCTCCCGACAAAGACACTTCTCCTGCTTGGCTGCTTTGTGCCTTTTGGTAGGCAACCAAGCTTGTTTCTGTCAGTAAAAAGACAAAGAAATGAAGCCCTTTCCAGGCCTTTGTGAGGAACTCATTGGGGCCAGCCCTGACTAGGGTTCCCAGCTCCAGATAGGGAAATTCCTGGATATTCTGTGTCTAAGGAAGCCAGGGTTTGGGGAGGGGAGAGGCATCAGCTGAACAGAATGCCATAGACCCCACCCTCCAAAGCAGTTATTTTTTCTGGGGAGGGGGTGGAGAGATCTGTTGTCTGGAGTTCAGTTGTGATACCTGGTGATCTTCAGGGTCCACCTGGAGGTTGGCTACCCTAGGTGTAGCAGTCAGCGCTTCAGAGCAGGGTCTGCTAGACCCAGGTTCTTGCTGTGGCAGCTGACTGGGTGATTTTGGACCAGTCACAGACTTTCAGCCTAACCTACCTCACAGAGTTGTTGTGCAAGTCAAAAGGGGGAAAGGAGAATGATGTAAGCTGCTTTGGTCCCCATTACAGAGAAAGACTACTTTTCCTCCTGGGAAACCATGTTGCCAATCTCCAGGTGGCTGGAAGTCACTCAGAATTACAACTGCTCTTTAGGTAGCAGAGATCAGTTCCTCTGGAGAAACTGGTAGACTTCGTATACCCTGTTGAGGTCGCCACAACAAATTGACTCTCCCAGAGCCTCTTTCTAGAGCTTGTTGTATTTATTTCCACAATGGGCCTTATTCCTAGTAACTACAGATAAAAC